CTGCAAGCTTGAAACCTATTTTTAAGGATTTAGCGTTTCTTCTTGGAGCTTCGAAAATATTATTTGAATATGGAAATATTCCGGGGAAATGCTTTTTTTGCGAGTCAGAAAACCTTTATATGTATTTTTTTTTGCTTCACATCAGCAATTTTTCTGTCTCTCTTTTCTGAAATCGGTCTTTTTAAATCAATTTTGCAAAAAATGTGTCACTCACCTCTTCGATGCCGTTTGCTCCGAAAAAGAAAAGTTTGAAAATCTTTCGGAGAAATCGTGACACGAAATAAGCTGAAAAAACTTTTTGGAATCATCCAAAATTGACGATGTATATAGGGGGAGTTCGACGGGTCAGAATTTGAGCACCATCAAGTCGCTGAGGGTGTTGCGAGTTTTACGACCCCTCAAGACCATCAAGCGAGTGCCGAAACTAAAGGCCGTGTTCGACTGCGTCGTCAACTCACTCAAGAACGTCTTCAACATCCTCATCGTCTACCTGCTGTTTCAATTCATCTTTGCCGTAGTCGCAGTGCAGTTGTTCAACGGCAAGTTTTTCCACTGCACTGACGAGTCCAAGTTCCACATCAGCGATTGTCAGTGAGTACAGCACATTCCGCTTATTGATGATGGCCATGCACGTATATGCGAGGAAAATGTTTGCGAGCGGGTTCAAAAGACTCATTTTTGTATTGAAATTCCTCTTGAGATTACATTGAGTAAATATCTAGAAGTACATTCCGAGAGATGGGATGTAGCTCAACACTAAACCCTCGATTACTGCAGCAACCTTTATACATTTTGGGTCTCTTTCAAAAGGCTCCTGACCATTCAGGTATAAAAAGAAATGGAACCAGGATGTTTCAAAAGGTAAATGACTGGTGACCAGACAGCAATGAAATGGCATGATTTCTGTGCAACGTGGGTGCTAGGCAGATACAAACTACATGTGGAAACTATGCATTAGAAAATAGTATTTGGTACTTTCCTGTTATCTCTGTAACTCATTCCTAGACCTCACTACCATCCAGACAAATCTTTAGGACAACTTCATAATCACAACAACGTACCAGAAACTGTGAATTTTATTTTTCCGCATTCAACTGAAACTGATTTTGGGAGGTGGTTAGGTAAACTTAGGTTAGGTCAGGTTAAATTGGTCAGAGGGAAGGTTCAGAGATAACAGGAAAGTAGGTATTGAGATAACAGGAAAACAGGTACTGAGATAACAGGAAAGCAGGTACTGAGATAACAGGAAAGTAAGTATACTGAGATAACAGGAAAGTACCAAAAATTGAGATGTGTCAATGAAAAAAGTGAAAGCTTGTTCAATTTTCTTTGAAATGGTATGTAGACCCAAGTGCCACAACATGGTCACAAGATAACCCAAAAAAGTTTTTCAGTCAACTCCTTGCACTAAGCTGCTGTTCTTCAGAGGTGTTTCTATAGAGATATATGGGGCAGTGCAGGGCCAGTAATTCAACAAGCAAACTTCGTGCTGCCTTCAATAGGATGCTCACATTCCCAAAACTTAGGAGGAGGGGGTTAGAAATGCAACAACAAAATTGAGCATCGGGATGCTGCTCTACTCCCAAATCTGGATGAAAGCTTGGTGGGTGCCAGTCTCATGGCTAGTGCCTGGGAAGAGTTGCCTGACAACTCTTTTTTTCAAGTTTTCATTCAAATGGTTCTGGTTACCATGCGCTTGGAACCATAAAACTACATATTTTTTGAAAAGAAATTGAAGAAGCTTTCATTTGGCATTTTTTCATTGCCAGAGCTCAATATTCTACTGAGCTATTTCAAGTAAAAAATTGGTTAATTTTTCTGGCCCACCCTGTACATGATGTGTGGTTCCCAAGACCAACCTAGTTATTGAGTACAGCCAAACCTCTTTAAGTCAAACTTCAAGGGACCAGCAACAAAATCAAGTTAGGGGAGGATTTGAGTTGCATAAATGGGAATATCTGATGGGGAAACAACAAAGAATTACAGAAAATTTTAATTGGTTAATTTTCTATAGGCCTTGAACTGGTTCTTGAATGAGTTGACTGGATGCTAAACTGTGTGGCAAGGGTTTATTTTCCCAATTATTCTTTCACTTCATTTTCAAAACCCATCAAGTTAAATTTTTATTCCTTTCATCTATCCAGTTTCACAATGAATTAATAGGCAAAAGAAAATTTGAGTTATGGAGGTTTGAGTTAGTAACATTTTTAATGCATTTTTTCTTAGGGAATTCATACTGGGACTTGACAATTTGACATAGGGAGGTATTTGACAATGATGAGAGGTTCCAGTAATCATCAAGGGGTCAACTGTAAAATGCTAGTCCTATACATACAGAACCTTGGCACACTGCCTCAAAAAGAACTTAAAATGATGTTGAATGGAGTGTGCCAAAATCTTACAGAGCATCAGAGGTTTTATATGCTCTTTGAATAATAGATCACTTCTTACAGTCAATTTACTTGTCAGAGCCTGTTTGAACTTGCATATCATCCAATTATTGCAAATGAATCTGTTGGTCCTGAAAAAAAGTTTATCTTCATTTGTCCTCTGGCCTTTTCCTGCTGTGAGCTATCGCATATATGATCTCAACCCTTGCTTAGTCTTTTTGAAGGTACTTTTTGTGTCAGCTCAATTTCTTTCCCCAAATAGGCAGCTGTATTATAATTAGGCCCATTGAAAAGTGTCTGAAGAGCAGATGCTGTAGTTCCTCAAGTATACCACTCACCCCCATGCAAGCAGGACATTTAAGAAGCTAAATTTCAGACAATTTCAGAAAATTGTCATTCCCAACTATCCCAAGTAAAAAACAAACCCATGCTTATTTAAAAAAATTTCTAAAGTAAAGCGCATCAAAAGTTGAATTTTGACTTGTATTGCAGATGAATTGTAGTCCTTCTTCATCAAATTCAGTTTTTTCAGATACTTTTGCTTGAAATGTGTCTATTACATTTCCTCAAGCACTTGATCACCTAAAAAATGTGTAAAAAGTATACCTGCCACCTAGGTGATCTTCACTCCACGCTTATTTTTTTTATTAGTTCTATTCTTTTAATTTAGAAAGACAGGTGCATGTGGTGCTCAAAAGTAACCTCAGTAGTTTATTGGGAGCCACTGTTCTTTTCATATATAGATGCATGCAGTACATGTATGTGTATGTTACTCAATTGGAACCTGTGTATATCATGCATACATGAAATGCACAAAGTATAAAGTTGTTCATTGATCAACAGCATGCAGCAGGTGGTACATTACTTGGCCAAGTGATGTGCCCCTATAATGACAAGCACAAACAGCGCATTCAAAAAAGGATGGAAAAGGCCAATGCTTGTAGAGTACAGTATGAAGTAAGCATTTTATGGTTACTATCACTGCAGTATGACATCCACCCTCTTGCTCAGTCTTGAAACTTTTGATATGCATGGTACATTTTTGTGTTGAATTAAGTCTGACATCTATCATACCCATGTCTGAGAACCGTTGTTTATTTCAATGATGCACATGAGTCAATAGCTTCTACCACGCTGATCTACCTAAATGTCCATTCACCCATGCACTTGTCCATAGAGTAAATATGCATTGCCATACTGTTAACTGCCTGAGTGGGGAAATTGGTGCACACTGGGGGTATGTTTGTAATTCTACACAGTGACCCCTGCTGTGCACCTGAAGTGTACCAAAGTTCTTCTGTTTCACAGGCATATACTGTACCCGATGTGCACCAATTGTGTGTTCACACCAGGATTACTCAGGGTCACATTTTTAAACAAATAAGTTACACCAGTTGGTGCATTTGTGTGATACTCTAGTTATGTCACATTTGTGCACCAAATGTAGCCCAGGAATGGTAGCAAAATTTTGTCTGCAGAGGTGCATGCTTGACCACAGAATAGCCTATGTACACCAATTGTGACCCCATTGTGCACCATTTGTGGGGTCACACAAAGAATAACTCCTCACTTGGGGCTTGTCAGGTACATAAAGTTCATCAACCATAATAATAAACAGTGCACTATTGCTGCAAGGTTGCCACACCCGTCTTTGCAAAACCTCCCTGCAGGAAATGAACCTGAGACATGCTGGCAACATTCTTTGTCCATCAACCTATAGATTGGCGCACATGCGTTAAAATAAGGAATGGAACATTCAAAATGTGTCCAACAGTTGGTTCTCAAAGTCAGCCAGTCATATAAAGTACATTTGAGAGTCCAAAAATACAATTACACTAGTATACCGTTCAGTATGTACTTATACTTTTTACACTTCGTCCATAAGTTTGATGGTTTCAGCATCCATAAGTCGGATCACATCTTCCCGCAGATTTCATGGAGAAAAGGCTCCATCTCTTCTCACATTTTTCAAAACATAAGAAAATGTCTTCCGAAAAAGTCAATGAATTTTTCTCTCAACTTCAAAGATAGCTGTACAGAAGAAAATCACGCAGAAACTGCACTTTGGGCATGAAAGGAGTCCAAAAAGTCATAAAAATAATGCACAAGTATCGCTATACAGCACTGTACTGCAGTGTTGATGGAAAAATCCCTGAAAATGTGAGCAAACTATTAGACTTCTTTCGAAATTAATTATGTAAAAGAAGACATGATGTAACTGGGAAGGTCAACAATAACAATAGGTCAATTTTTTATCAAAAGATATCACAATGTTGAAAAATAAGTTTTCTATTTCCTTGAAAATGTTTTGCGTAGTCAATATGTCACGGCAGATTTTGTTTGCTTGTTTGAAGTGCACATAAGTCGAATTATCTGCATGTCAGGGTGTCCGTATGCCGGGGCCCCCCACTGTACTGCGTCAAGTTGGATAATCACAATTTTTGTGGAAGTTCCCGTTTTCGTCGAACCTCTTCAAGGTTCGTTCATCCCGAAAAAAGGCTAGGGCTTCTTTTTCCACGGTGGCTTCACTTCGAAACATTACCTCGCGGAAGAGACTTGTCACCAGGACAGATACATGAAATCATGAGAAAATGAATGGAGAAGACCACGTTTCAAAGAGCATATCAAAAGTGCTTCATTGCTCGCGTTCAAGATATAAACGTCGGTAAGGGACAACGAATACAGCATAAAAAATGAAATATCTCACACCAGTCGGAAACGAGAGCCAAAAAACCTTTTTCTTGATCCCACCGAAAAAAAAACCAAACAAACAAACAAACAAACAAACGAACGGACGCACGAACCAACGGAAAAGAACCTACTTGTGCAACACGAAAAATTTGCCAGCCAAAAAACCTCTGACACGGAATTTACACGACTTGATTACACGCCCTTCTTTGGCTCCTCTCACTTCGTACTTTTTGTATTTTCACAACGGTCACACGAAACAGAGGCGATGATGAGGGTTCGAAGTAATGCCACGCACACGAGACGGTTTAACATGTATGTACGAGGGTATTTCCAAAAGTTTTGCAAGTTGACCAATCGCCCGGTCAGCATCAGAAAATCGGAGACATTAACTCCTCCCATCCTTTTGCAGCAAGGTTTTTTTTTTTCCACTCCGCCGGACATCGAATTTTTTTCATTTAAAAAACAAAAACACACAAAAAACCCCTGACCGACACGGACAGATGGCGCTTCTAAAATTAAAATATTCTTCTCACAGCGGATGGACTCGAAACATGCTTCCGCATGATGATCATCAACTTTAGTGCCTTGTTCAGGCAACGAGCTCGAAAAGAGCGACTTGGATCATGGAAATGCGAGAGCTGATGGTTCACAAAACATTTGTGATCCTAAGCCTACGTCCGTCTTGCGATTGTCCGAGAGAAAACATCAAGTGTACAGTATTTCTCTCTAGGCATAAAAACTGGTCAAGCGTGTCACCTGCCATGAAGTGAATCCAGATTTCTAGATAAAGTATACACTCACACACATGCACCAATATGCCATCTGCAGGAGGACTTTCCAGTCAGAAGTATGCTGACAACTTATGGTGACATACTTTTCAACAAACTGAATAACACCCTCTACATTTTGCAAATCTGATGGTTTCTCTAAAACTGCAAAACAGAGCATACTGTACAGTGCTGTATTTTATGCAAGTACTGTACCAAGCACACCTTTTTATCCAAAAATTGGGACTAAAAGTTGTGGTGCAATCTTTCTTGGGTATGCCTTTATTCAGTTGGCAAAACAACATTTACATTGAAGGATTGCAGGAAATTATAAACGGTGATATTCTGGGCCTTCAATTGCTTCTTGAATGAGTTGACAGGATGCTGAACTTGGAGACAAGGGTTCATTTGCCCAATTGGTCTTCCATTTCCTTTCAAAAACAAGTTTCTTTTCTACTGCTTTTCTCTTTCCTGTACCAATAAAATGATGCCTCAGAAAATTCAAACTGTCAAGGCTTGAGAGGAAATGCCGTCAAGTTAGAGGTTTTTAATGAATTGTTTATGGGGGAATTCAGACAGGGACTTGAAAAAGGATTTGACTACAAGAGGTGAGGTTCAAGTTATCAAGGTCGAACTGTAATAACATTACACAGGAGGAACACTTGTTCTTTACCATCAGAAATCTAAATTTAACACAAAATAGCTTTGCTCTTGCCACTTTGTCCACTTGGAAAATTAAGAAGAAGCACTCAATTTCAATACTGTACAGACAGCTCTAACATGAGAAAGAACTCCCTCTTGCCATTTACATCCCTGAACAAATTAGAGGACAGGAAATAAGCCAAAGGAAGCACTCAAATGTCCGAACATGGCCCACGGATACTGTTCATCCATCGTGCAGTTCATTCCCTACGATTTTCAGCCATCGCTATCTAAAATATACGGTATGTTGAAAGATTAATTTTAAAATTAAAAATGTTGCTCCACCCTTAAAAAATTATACAAAAACTATGCCTGTGATACAATTCATAGCACTGAATTAAATTTGAAACTGTCCATTGAATAAGGGAAAATTCGGAACCTCAAGAATTATTATCTCTCGCGGCTCACGAAGACTCTCCACCTCTGCAATGTGGCCCTAGGCAACAAGCAAATGTAGTACTAATATGGCCCTTGGCCACATCTAAGTTGGGCAGCACTGGTCCAGAGGAACTCTGATGTGAATCGGGCATTTCGAAGGGTAAAATTTGCAGGTTCTGCAGTACAGTAGACAACACACTGGTGCATGCAGGAGTGCGGCAGATATCACACTAGTCCACCTAATAATTTTTTTTCGTCGAGACATGACCTCGTTCCAACACGATGCACATCCTGAAAAAAAAATTGCAAGTGGTCTCGACAAGAAATAACGAGAAAAAAAAACCCCACAAGAAGCGAAGAGACGGCAGCGAGAATCAAGTTTCAATTGAAAACGTCCTTCCATCCGATCACGAGCGTCGTTTCAGCCTGACCTTCGCGCCAGAATGTTCAACCCCATCTTCAGATAAAAAATGCGCAGTCCGATGCCTTGTCGAAGGCACTCAGCAATTCAAGAATGGTCACTCTTGTCCCCGGTCGACTTCCTCTTTCCAACTTCCCTCGACCTTCGCGGATTACATTCGAGAGTCAACGGAGAGTTCGCTTCAAACAGAGGAAACAAAAATACCAGGGTTTTTTCTAGTTTCCGCCGGAAGCGGAACGACTCCAACAGGAAACGTGGGTACTTGAAAATTTTTGATAGTCTAGTCTAGAACTCCAGATGCTCGGATCACGTGGACGGATCACTACATTTTTCGATGCGGAGAATTATTCAGCCTCTACGACAGCGCTGCCCAACAGATAAACTTCATCCATTCCACAGTCTATAATTTTCACGGTTGCAGCCGCCATTATTCAAAAATACTACAAGACCATGCTTGTGATTCAATGCATAGCACTGAAACAAATTCGAAGCTTTTCATTGAAAAGGGGGACAATTTCGATCGCGGCCTCAAGGACTCTCTCCAATTCTGTAATGCGGCATTCGGCCTAATCTGATTTGGGCAGCACTTCTCAACTATTCTCCCACTGGGCGGAAAAGAAGGTTTAAAAAGAGTTAGAGTAATCAAGAAGAGGGTAATTCGCGCGGAGAAACCAGATACAACTTCTCGCACGTTTGTTTCCTATCTTCAAAAATTCCATACTGATGAAGAACATCGGGTCGAAGGATTCACATTTTCAAAGAGTGACCTAAACTTCCCGCCGCGCACGTATTCTCCCTTTCCTTTTGCCCTCATTCGAATCGTTTGACACACACAAAAAAAGTATCGTAATACAAGCGAAACACTTGACCGCGGCAAGCGCAAACCGAAAGCAGACGGGGGATCACAAACTGATGAACTAACGCGACTAACCCGTATTCCTGAATCACGCCATTCTTCTTCTTCTTCTTCTTCCACACTCTGAACTCTTCCGATTCTTCCTTTCCTTTTTCACAAGGGAGAGCCACTTTTTTTCTCGCTTTTTCTTTTTTCCTTTCATGCTCGTGCTTCAACAAATAGTTCTCTCTTTTCTTTCGTCAGTGCTTCACATCCTAACCGAGGCATGGAGACTTACAGAACACCGAGTAAAATATGGACCATCTCCGGCGCACGACAGGGAAGAACTCGTTTGCTCATCATGGCCAACTCGCAGACTTCTGAAAATACCCCAACGAGAGGGGTTAGTATCACAGAGGAGAAGGAGGCTTTCGTCGGGTAGGTGTCACTCCCAGTGGTGCGGGCTCGGAGGTAGTTCCGACGGCTGCGCGACGGTCGAGCTCGCGAACGACTTGAAGGCGGCAGACTGCGGGTTGATGCACAGCGGCACTCTGCCATTGTTGAGTCTATCCAGCACGTACTTGTGCATTCGTTCTGCAAAGAAAACACAACCCACGAGTTACATTTTGCAGAGCCAAAAATCGTCGAACAACACACTGCATCCAAAACGTCGAGGGTCAGAAGCAAAAAAAAAAAAAGAAAAAAAATGAGTCGGAAAGGGTTTTAGGCAAGAAACAAGTATTTGCCTTGGGAAGAAAGGAAGAATTCCACGAAATTCTAATTAGTGATTTTATAGACATTAAATTTCTTTGTGAATGAGTTGGGCGGCACTTCCTCTCAGAACACATCAATTTACCTTTTTATCGCTTCCCTCTTTCTTGCGTGAATAAAATACAGGTTAACCTCGCTAAGTCGAATACTGTACCTCCGTAACTCGAATTTTTTTCAAGTCCCTGTCTGGATTCCCATAGAAACAATGTATTGAAAACCTCCCTAACTCGAAGTATTTTTCTTTCAAACCTCTGTAAGTCGAATTTTCTGAAGCCTTTTGGTTATTATTTCCTTGAAATATGAAAGAAAAAATCAACAAAACAATTTATTTTACGCATTTTGAAATACAGTGAAGGACTAATTGAACAAATGAACCCCTGTTTACAAATTTAGGCCCAGAATTTCCTCATCTACAATTTCCCCATTTTCCTTGCAGCAAAAATGTTTGTTTCCTTTACTCAAAACATCAAAATATCAGAACCCTCCCTAAGTCGAATTTTTTTCTGGTCTCTAGAAATTCGACTCAGAGAGGTTCAACTGCTGTAGTAGCCAAAAAGCGTCCAGAAAATTCGAGTGGTGGAGGTTTGAGAGGAAAAGCCTTCGGTTTTGAGAGGTTTTTTTTTAATCCATTGTTTCCAAGGGGATTTGAAAGAATTTCGACACAGGCAGATATTCGACTCTGAGATGTTCGAGTTATCGCGGCTCAAATGTAATTAACTTGATACTGAAGATGGGCACGTTTTCGTTTCAATGCCCACAATCCCTTCCTGAGACGTACACCAGGTGTCGCTCAAATCCCGGACCAGAAAAATATCTAGATTCGCAGAAATATCGATCATTCTCGGGTCTCACGCACTACCGAGAAAATCCCCGACAGCGGTATTTTGAGAATAATTGTAATTCACGGATTTGCAGTCAGAAGAGAGGTCAATGAATAACAATTAATTCGACTTCTTTATTGATGGGGTCGCGTAAGCAAAACCCTTTTTCCCCCAAGTCCAAAAAGCCCTGTGCAATCCGTTGACAGTAAAGTACTGTGCTCGTAAATTATTTTTAAGTTTTGATACACAGTATTTTGAAGAAAGCAAGCTAATGTATTTATATCCAAAAAATTCAAAAATATTTCATGATAAATTCACTCCAATTCATAATCAAAAGCTTCTTTGTGCTTCATCTGTTCATATTATAGCAAGACTTTTTATTTTTCTTTGTGGTTTTGTTCCACGCTGTTGTTTTCTAAAACTTGAAGTTGAAGGAAACAATATTTATTGCATTTTTTGAGGACTTATTTCTAATTTTTGACAAAAAAGGAGAACCAATTAATCACATTAGGATTGATGTCTACAACGAGGAAATGAGACTCGACTTAGGGACATTCCAACATCAGGACACTCTCGACACACCGATTGCGTCGGCATCTGACTTACACGAGAGAAACAGGACAGGAAATTGGCAAACATTTGAAAAAAGAGGACGGGAGAAAGGAAGGAGAAAAGCGAGGGAAAATGGGCGCAGCACCTTTGACAACTTGAGTAGTCGTGAGCTCCTTCTCCCAGGAGCTGTCGAAGTGCTGCGGGGCGACGGGCTCGAAGTCGTCCGTGTACTGCCTTCCGCCGCACGTCGTCGGATGGCAACACTTGCACATGCACGAGTGGTACCTCAGCCGGCCTTCGTCCAAATACGGGTGCCGCAGCGCCTCGGCGCATGAGATGGAGAATAGGACTTTGGTGTAGGTGCGTGAGTAATAAGTGCACAAAAAAAAACCCTGAGAGAAAGAGAGAGAGATGTTGCTTTAAGCTCCTTGGTCTTTGTTTAAGCGACGTCTCTTTGAAAAACAGACATTTTAAAAGAAAATAAATGTTTGAAATGTCTATCAATATCGTACAGTATACTTTTCTTCCGTCCGACTTCATCTACTTCTTACTCGCATACTTTTCCACGCTTCCAAAAATTTGTAGCGGAATTATTTGTCGGTTTTGTATATAAATACGGTCCGATCGCGGGGTTGATTTTGCTCATGTTTTTTTTCTTGATACGACATCGAGATGATTCGTGGAAACATACCGGGTCGAAGACTAGCATTTGGGAGAGCAGGTAGACAGCTTCGTGGGTTGCTTGCGGAGACAAGGTGTAGAGGGCAGTCAGGGCTGGTGGCTTGTGCCCATTGCGTCTCATGTGCAGCCGGGCGCCTTCACAAGCGTGCTTCATCTCCTCGGCTGACGGGGTGCCCAGCAAGTCTGTTATCATGTCCAGCTGCAAGCAAGGGGAAAAAATAAGGCTCAGGCTACAGTTACGAGGGCCATCCAAGGGAGGCCACGTACAGGCATATAGCACGCATTTCATTCCGAAAAGAGACACAAAACTATCAGGGTGGGTATGAGGGTTGTCCCAGTTGGACGCCACCTCTGAGATTTTCAGTGCAGGCGTGATTTATATATTTAAAAAAAAATCATGACATAGACCATGATGTTATAGGGTTTTGGGATTTTTTCAGATTCTTGAAAACTTTTTTTCTTCAATTTACTGCATGACTATAAGGGAAAACTTTCCAGTAACAGCCAGAACTCTCCAACCATGTGAAAGAGTGCTAGAAATCCCAGACTAGCTGATATGATGAATTTTTTTGTTTTGTTTTAACCATTATCTAAAAAGTAGAAAAGATATGGATAAAAAATGACCCAGTACAGGGAAGTTAGAGTTAGCAAGGTCCAAAAGTCACTTCTGAGATATTCGTATCTGTGTCTCAGGTTCATTGTGCATTACAATTTATTCATTCTTTCTGACCCAAAAGCTCACAACTTTCGTTGGCACACCAAAGTATTACCAAAAAAGCTGGTAACAAACTTCTCAACATTTGGAATTCATGTCACAAGTAATACGGTTGAAAGTTTAACCCTGGTGACTCAAACCTCCCTATTTCGAATTTTTTCAAGTCCCTGTCTGAATTCCTCAAGAAACAACGCATTAAAAAGTGACCAACTCAGACAAATTTTCATTTCCAACATCCATAAATCGAATTTTCTGAAGCCTTTTGAATATTATTTCATTGACAAAGGAAAGAGAAGAGGAACAAAAATATAGCATCATGCGTTTTGAAAGGAAGTGGAAGACTAAGTGGGCAAATTAATCTGTGCCTCCAAGTTCAGCATTCAGTCAACTCATTCAACAAGCAATTCAAGAACTAGAAAATCACCAATTACAATATCCTGGAATTCTTCTTTCTTCACCCCAACTCAAAACTTTCCAAAGTCAGTTTTCTTTTTGCTGGTCCCTTCATGTTCAACCCAAAGAGGTTCAACTGTACTTTCAAAGCTGGAGGGGCATGAAGTAGTGAACCAGTAAGCTGACAATGCATGAAGTAAAGGGTGTCAAATGTTCAAGGGGGGTGATAATGTGTTCAGATGTCCCTTTAAAGCCTTTTGACAAAACGCTTCATGAAAAATCTATACCAAGGGAGGAGTTTTTGCATTGTATACAGGTGAACTCTCTCTCTCCACAAAGATCTTGTCCATAAAAATTATCTCAGGGGTTTCTACCCATCCTATCAAGCAGTGCTGCCCAACTCAGACGTGGCCAAGGGCCACACTAAAACATTTGTTTGCATCCAAGGGCCACATTGCAGAGGTTCCAAAATGTCCCCTTATTTTTCATTTTGAAACTCATCCATCAAGTAATATGGGATGCTTGAAAGAGAACTGCTGCCACCAGTAATAAGGGATACAAGTTTTTGTGTGCTCCTTATTGGTCTGGAGCAAGATACTCGTACTCATTTGAGAAGGTAATGAGGTTAAGCAGAATAATTAACCTTCACAGGTTTTTGAGTGAACCTTTAAGAGGTTCAGGTTCAATGGAAACGTCACGGGACAATTTCAAATTCTCATAACCACGCGTGGAACAAAAAGTAGCTCAGTTACTGAGAGAGATTTTCTCCTCTTATCGAATGGAAACGTCAAGTGACAAAATACGCGTCAAGTGTCAACAAGCCTCGCAAATCACATACAGTCATCTTTATTTCATTGTGTTTCTCCACGAACAGTATATGTATACTGTACATCTCTTTATTCAAAAAAAAAGGAAAAAAGGAAAAGAAAGGAAACAATTCGAGACCTGCTGGATAGGAGTCTGCGCCTGGAACAAAATGCGACGGCCCAGAAGCTCTGCGAAAATGCATCCGACGGACCAAATATCCACGGCTTGTCCATAATGCCGGGCCCCCATAAGCAACTCCGGTGCTCGGTAATACTGCGTCACCACCTCTTGTGTCATGGCGACGTCTTCATCCGGCTCCTCCACTCGCGCCAGTCCAAAATCACAGATCTGTGCAAAATAAAAGATGAATTTGTTCTCAGCACTTGTCGAAAGACACGTACGTACGCAAGAAAAAGTACGAGACGTTCGAGCGACATCTAACGAACGAGTGCAACAACTTGGTAAATCTAATCACCTACTGGATACAATCCAAACATAATTTAATGTCATCCTCTGTCCCAGCAACAGCAAATTCTGCGGCACTTTGGCAAGGGTGGCATAGTTTCAGAAGAAAATTTAGTTTATGGCTTCTACTGTAGGTAAAACAAGCCTTTTTGCAGAATTGTTAGACCTTTGAGTCTGTTTCAGAAGAGAGAAAGTCCCAGGAAATAATTCAAAGCTCAAATGAACTGCTTTTACTGCATTCCAATCATATGGCAAAATAATATACTGCATTTGGTTTTTGCACAAACTGGGTCAAGTAAAAGAGCGGAACTTCTTCTTGCAGTTTTGCATCAGCCTTTCAATGGAAGCACACACTTACAAGAGCAGGAGGGCTTTCCTTAATTTTATTGAAGAGGCTATTCCAGTTAGTGAGGTACTCTTTGCTGTGGAGGACCTCCAAATGATTCCACCCCTTTACACGTAGATTCAGTTATAATGTTTTTCATTATTCTGCGCATGGGTATGTGATTCTCATTAATAAAATAATGATCTCTTTAGAAACATGTATTATCTGATTTTGGACCACTTTTCATCCAGGACAGCAACTTCGTCATGTAAATAAGTGAGTTGGCACTAAATTGAGGTTTCCTTTAAAAACAGAATGGAGGGAGATTTGTTCCAGGGAAATTTGTGGCACCATCCAGGGGTGAAACGAAATTGCGGACACTAAATTGAGGCTTGACTGCATCTAGTACTGTACCATTAGAAGAAATTGTAAATTACGTTGGTCCCTCTGCAGACATTTTTCTCATGACTTATCACAGTAAAAGAAAAGCAAAAAAAACAGAAATAATTTTATGGAAAAATCATGTAAAATAACTTTTTGAAACTTACTTACAACTATCAAAAGACTTGTGATTCTCACAACTTGATGAGAACCAACGCTAATACTGTAATAATGAAATTACTGCGTCATCCGCACAACAGCAAATGTTTGACACATCAGAGCAATATTTTTTTAGATTTTCATCGCAGATTTCTTACAGGGACTTTCCCTTTCCTCCATGAAGATACTCGGACAAATCCATGCCTACACGATGGCACACATTTTCTCGACAACACAATTGTAGATACAGTAGTCAGATATTTTAATGCTTTTCTTAAATTTGACAATGCCGGGATTTTTAAATTTTTTCCGCTTTTTCATCTTCTTGAAGCATTATTCGTGGGTGTATTGAATCACGTTCCAAACAAAGCACGTTTCTGAGAAGGAAAAAAACATGGTGTGATGTATTCGATTTGAAATTTTGGCCACATTCAAAACTCAATCAGAAGGTAAATGGATAGTTTCTTGCTGATTTGACATTAAAAAAAAAGCCAAAAAATTCGTTATACACAGAAAATCGTTACAGTGAGAGTCCACCTGCATCAATTATGAGCAAAATGGTGACAACTCAGTCAATACGCAATACAGTACAGTACAAGAATGACATACACACAACAGCAATATACATATCACATAATTACCACAATCGCCCTCATGGAACAGTATTTCAACCCACGACCATTTTGTTTCTAATTCCATGTTCTAACCACACACACACACAGTCATCAACATCATGAGGAAAGAATGCTTATGCAGGACCCAGGTTAGAATAAACATTAAAATTGAAATCAACACTTTCACTACGTTTTACTCCAGTAAAAAAAATCAACTGGTGTCCGTTCGAAACATTGAAAGAACTTCAAAAAGCGCATGACTATTTAAAGGAAAGGTGAAACGCATGACGATAATTTTCACATCCCTCGTGTGATTCAGAGCGTAAACATTTATAGTGAGATAGTTTTTCATTTGTTTTACAGAACACTAATAATGGCTCGTAGAACTCTAACAGAAAAGACTCAAAATTTTTTGGAAAATTCCGCATCAACTGGGTGAATGAAAGTCTGTGAGATATTTTGTTTCTCGATTGAGTTGAGATTGTTTTTTAAATTCTGTACTAATAATTGCTCGTAGAACTGGAACAGTAAGAAGACTACGCATACAGTATAAGGGAACTGCGTGTCAACTGGATAAATGAGAAGTCCGTAAAAAAAATTATCGGTTTTGAAAATTTTCAAGCGTCCAACTTTTCAAATTAAAAATTCCCTTTTCGTCCATTAAAAAAACCTAGAAACGATCCACCTTCGCAACATTGCTTCAATGCCGTGGACCTCAATTCAAAAAATTGATTACAGCAATTTCTTGAAGGAAATCAAATCTTCTCGGAATTTTCATACTTGAAGGGAGTACAAAAATATCAATCCATGAGATTTTATACAGAGATGAGACAAAAACATTGACAATTCCTCCTGGATGGAACAAATGGAATTGGGGAGAAATCCGTGTCACAAAATTCGCTTAATATACTTTATAACAGATCATTGACGAAATTGAAGAAAAGTCATAAAAAAATACGCACCTTCAGCACGCAGTCAGAGTTGACGAGTAAGTTTCCAGGCTTGATATCACGGTGGAGGATGGAGGCAGAATGAAGGTACTTCAGCCCTGTAAAACAAGAAATCACGCGTATTTAGTCGAAGAATATTCCATTCCCTTTTCCCCAGGTTTCAATTCAAATTCAGCCTACTGCAGTTGCGAAGAAATATGCGATGACACCGCCGAAATTCAGAATTTAAAAAATATCGATGAACAATGACCAAGAGATTAGCAGTCATGGGATGCTTCAAGCAGAGTGCATGTCTTGGACTTGACAAAATACAGTACTTCAGCTGAAAAATAAGGTACTGTAGAAACTTAGTAGGAAAATTCATGTAGCCTTCAAAATACGTAAATGGGACCTCAACCACAAACCTACACTTTGGAGACTTGTCCCAGTTCTGCGGGGGATTTCAATACCTATCACGCTGTGAGAGTTTCAGAAAATTCTAAAATTTTCCTCACCATGTGTCTGGAATCTACGATTTTCTCAGATTTTCAACATAGTTCTTCAGTGTACTGCATGATGAGGAGTAAAAACCTTTCCCATTGCAGTCAGAGATTTCCACTCATTTCAAAGTGAGTTGAAAATGTGGCAAGCACTTGATATTCAGAAAATGGGAAAATATGTAAAAAAAAATTTCAAATTGTCATCAAATAATATTCTGCGTTTTCCTGCAATATATAAAGAATACTGCCTATTTTTGTATCTATAGTTCCAAAACAATCTGCCTAGCAACCCGTTGCTCCAAAGCAGATGAGGTCATTGTGCATGCAACACACTGTCTGGTTTGCAGTCATTTCCATTGTGCCCTTTCTAGCATCCCTGTTTTGGTTGTGCAGTCGCGTCTGGCTTTACTCAAATCTATAAAGGTACCATGCTGTTATGTACAGATATTCATTGTTGGTCTGGCATTGGTTGAGGTAGCAAGAAATACACGTTAACTCTCTATATTGAGAAGTCGTATTTATTTTGGACCCTGGCTATAAGAACTAAATCTTCTTGTCTTGAAGTTATTCTTGAGAGTTTACATTCTTTAGATTAATTGCTCTCTGGGGAGAGACGTTTCCCCAAAGACAAAAGTGCCTTTAGATAATTCTATCGCAATTTAGGATAACAAAATAAATACTGGATGATGAAAATTATAAATTTTCATTATTAATTATTAAAATTAATTTCATTGAAAATTATAAATTTTCAGATGATGAAAATTATAAATTTTCATCATTCCTACCAGCGTTATAAATACTGTACACAGCGATTTTTAAAAAATCAGAGTACAGTACTACCCTACTCGACTGTTGGTAGGCATGGGACGCACGAAAAAGAGACCTCGAATGAGAGTACATTAGCGTACTGCAACCAACACCAGAGCACGGACCCCGTCCCCAGTTTCAATCATAATCAAATCGCCTTCGACAAGCATACCGACACAGCCGTGTGAGTTTTTCTCACTTGTCCTGAGATTCAGTGGAGCAAAGTGGTCGTCATGAGAACTAGGCTCGCTATGATCCAAATCAACTTCTTCCCTCGACTGCAGTCCCAGTGCACACAAGGAAATTCAGTCAAACCACTCCCAGTCAAATTTCAAAGAAACTGCGAAAAAAATATCCAAATTTGGGAGCTTTCGCGTTGGGGAAAAATTGCAGGGAATTGTAATCGGTGATATTCTGGGCCTTGAATTCCTTCTTTAACGAGTTAACCGGATGCTGAACTTGGAGGCAAGGGTTCATTTTACCCAATGGATATTTCACTTCCGTTCAAGACACATCAAGTTACATTTTTTATTCCTTTCAACTTTCCTGTGTCAATGAAATAATAGCCGAAAGACCTCCAGAAAATTCAACTCATGGAGGTTCGAGGGGGGAAAGCTTTGAGTAAGGGAGGTTTTCAATGTATTGAATCTCAGAGAAAAAAAAAATTCGACACAAGCAGGTAAATGACTCAGGGAGGTTCGATTTATCGAGGTTCAACTGTACGTGGCAAAAGTGCATGAAAAGTCCAAAACTTTTCCGTCCCAGGAATTAATTGTTTTAAATTGTCAACATATATTTTAAAGTTGGCGCAAGATGACAAGTAAAAACTTCCCCATTGACGTCAGAGTTTCCCACTCGTTTCAAAGTGAGTAAACGAAATAATTTCTCGTTTCACACTGTGTCGATAAAATACAGCCAAAAGGCCTTCGGAAAATTCAACTCATGGAGGTTTGATGGGAGAAGGCCTTCGAGCTAGATTCAATACACTGAAAACCTCCCTAGAGGAATTCCAACAAGGATTCGAAAAAAAAAATTCGACACGAAGTGGAGTTTCACGTTATCGAGGCTCAACTGTAAGATGTTGTAGAAGTGTGAAAAAAGTCCAAAAGTTTCCTCACGACGTTCCAGGAATCGTTTTTTTTTTTCTAGATTTCCAACTGTGTATATTCGGTGTATTGCACGATGAGATTTGAAAACGTTCCCATTGCAACCGGAGTTTCCCAATAATTTCAGTGTGTCACACACAAAATTTCTCATTTCATGATGTGTCGATGAAATAGCACTGTTATCAAAAGGCCTCGATAAAATCCGAGTTACGAAGGTTACAGGAGGAAACCCTTCAAGCTTGGGAAGTTTTCAAAACAGTACATTGTTTATAAGGGACTTCGGCATAAGAAGGTACTGTCTTCGACTTGGGAAGGTTCCAGTTTTCTAAGTTCAACTATACTACAGCCTTGTACATGGAAAACGCGGATTCGCACGAAATTAAATTACGTAAATCGTAGAGGGGAAAAAAAATATATATACTGTATATATAAACCGGTAATAATAATATCCAGGGGTTGGGATCAGCAAGAACGACTCCCGCCATTCCCGGGATCCAGCAGGCGGGGTGTTGAATCGATACTGCCCCACCACCTGCCGCCTCCCTCGCGCGCGATGACGCGGTGTCGGCTAGGTGTCGCTTCCAGCGCCGAAAAACACAGAGGAGGAGGTGGGGGGAGGACGAGAGCAAGAAGAAAGAAAAGTCGACACGCCAAGTAGAGCCGGGTTGGGAAATGGCGTTGCGAAAGGGAGCCTCTCTCGTTCCCGTCCGGTGATTTCGTCTGTTCGCCTGGCTTGCTTCACGGGGCGAGAAAGTGTCGGTACTATACGCGAAGGCGAAAGTCGGAAATCGGTCACCCGGGCGATTCGGATTCAATTCCGCCGCGATTTTTCCTCTCTTTCTTTTTCTTCCCTTCCTTTTTTTTTTGTTCCACCCTCCGCAACAAACAACATGGCAGTGTTGCCCAATTTCCCTCTAGCTCTGCAAACACAGATCAACCGAGTCCCGGCAGGATTGTCCCAATTCCTGTACGCGTTCGTAGACTCGTTCGTTTTCCGCCCCCCCGAGAGGAAAGTGCTTTCCAGATGACGAACAAGCTGCATTTCTCCCAACAGTCCATTTCAAGTGCAAATCGATTACGTTTTCTCACAGGAATAAGACGCATCAAAGCGTCGTGAAAGTGCTTCTTCCTCTTCCAGCACGAATTCCACGTGAAACAACAACAACAAAAAGTTTGGTATTCCCAGATTCGACCTAGTTTTCAAAACCATGAATTCTTACTCTCCACTCTGCAACAAGTTAGACGCCTAAAATGACAAAATTTTCCTTCAAACCTCCTGTTCCAGCCAGGGCACCGGTGTACGACAAATTGTATTTGTCACAATAATTTGTTTCTTGGTCCCAGCAGTTTCTCGAAAGGTGCAATGTTATAAAAATCTCTTTTAAGAAACTCATTTTAGGCGGCAATCTCGGTATAACGACATGTTGGCCCTGATTCTGCACACCAGACCATATGGAATAATTTGATGAATGAAAAGAAAAATCAAACTGGTGCAGCATTCCAACTTCATCAAAGAAGCAAAACTTTCGGTAGAGAAAATTTAGCGTTCAATAAAATTTACAACACGACATATTTCCTGGAAATTCGTTGCTCCGTTTGAGAATGCATTAAACATCAAATTAACAAATGAATAAAGTTCCTCAATTTCGAAGAGCAAACAAGTATGAATGACCAAGTTGATATGGAAGGGAGTACAGTACTGTACAGTATTCCTCTCACATGTACTTGTATTTCTGTTTCATTTTATTTTTTTCAAGTACAGCAAATCAGTATATAAAGGCATGTTCATCATTCGAAAATGTTCCTCTTAATTTCATCAGGGACTATGAAATTATGAAAAGTTATATATTATCTATTTAGAAGCAAACAACGGTATGTTCAAGAAATTTTCCATTGGGCATTTCCAGAATGCGTTTTTATTACCCATTTCTCAGAAAATTCTGGTTCAAAGTGTGTTAAAACCCTAGAATCCCGATACAACAAAATATTTTTTTCCAAGAAAACTTGTAATCTTGTCCAGGAAGTTCGTTGAAACGAGATTTTACAAACAGCAAACAAGCTGAATTCTTTTGAAAAATCGGGCCTTAACCAATAAATAATGTTTACCCGGGTGAAAACCCCAAACGATTTTCAAAATTTCACGGGCAAGAAAATCACGCAGTTTTTTCGGCCGTGGGTGAAAGTATCTCTTATCCTAGTAGCTCTTATCCTCGTTGTCTCTTACCCTTGTCGTATAATGTTTACCCCAGGTGTTCGAGGTTTATACTTGATAAATGAAAAACAATCAATATAAATCACACAACTGCCTTGGGTTTATAGGACCCACTCACACCTGAAAATTCAAGCATCAATTTGTTTGTCTGAAGAGGGTCACGATGTCAACATACAGTATTTCAAGAATGCTATCGATCATTGGAAAATGAAACAGAGCAAGTCTTTCAATTCCTTCAAATCTGAAAATCAAGAAAACGTCTCCTCTTTTCCCTCTCCTATTCGAGCTTTTCGACACGAGTTTTCGTCTGCTTCCGAAATCATCACTGGAGAACCAGAAAATGGAAATGAATTTCAGCCTCTTCATCATCACGAAAAACCGCCACAGTTCCAGCATTAGTTCAAACCTCAGGCGCCCCAAATGTCAAATGCAGACTGATACCGAATTTATAATCGGTGGCAATTTGCTGGTAACGATCCTACGCAGTCCACA